TTGAGAGGTGGTTTAGGAAGATTGTTCCTCAGCTGGGATTGCTTCCGAGATCCTTTGCTGAGGGATGTCAGTTTTTGTTGCTTTGATCATGGAGAGGCTTCCATCATTCCAGCATCCCCTGCAAGGCCCTGCATACAAGTTTAGAACTTGCACCTTGGGACTTGCCCCCCCCTTCCATGCGTTCCAGATCAAACAATTCTTTGCTCACTTGGGGCTGATATGGTCCCATCGCCCAGGGCCACTGGGGAGCGTTGACCCAGACCCCGCACTCTCCGCACTCAGGGAGATGGCCGCCAAGGCGATGTGCCTTGGATTTTGCATGTATTTTGCCGTCCGAGAGGGGGACCCATTCGTCATCATTGGCCGCCCATTCAGTCGGCATCAGTGGCAGATTGGTACGTCTTCCTGGTAATGAGCCAAGGTCTCCCCACCTTTGGCAAGCAATTGGTGTGCTGGCATGATTTCCGCACCGTTCTTGTTAAGCAGGGAGCTCTAGGCTCTAAGGGTTTGTTTGCCGCTGCTGTTAATGCCATTGAGTCCATGCCACATGGCACCAAAATGGGGGTGTCAGTTCTCATCAACCTGCGTGCTTTTACACAAGATGAATAGACCAAATGGACTACCAGGGAGATCAACCTACCCTGGTGACAGGGGCTCCGGGTTTTGACCCACAGCCATGTGAGAACTTCTTCCCTGGAACATGTCCCACTTGCTTTGAAGGTGTTTCTTTTTCACATGGTTTCCTACATTGCCTGTAGTCTGAGAACAGCGGTCCACCGGTGCAGTCTGGCAAGAAGGCACAGGTGAAAAGAACGCAGTGCGCTGGGAACACTGTACCAGAAGTTGTACCGGACTATATATATATATATATCTGTGTGTGTAGCTGCTACTACGTAGTAACTATATATATATATTATTACTGTATGTACTTTGAGCATTGCAAGAATGCATGCACATGTATAAATTAACATGTATTACTTACTTACTTACTTACTTACTTACATGTGTACCGCCTGCTGTTTTTCGCCTGGCCGCCTGCTAAACACACCTGGGTCACCCGGTGACCGACCGGCCGAGGAACGGGAAGTACTATCCCCACCCCTCGCTGATGCGGGGCACCTTGAAGCTCAGTCGACCGAAAGCGTTGGCTTATGGCGTGGACCCCGGCAAGGCGGAGAGACGAGCGGAACCGGCGCGCGGCGGAACCGTGCAACGAACGCGGCGTAGACACGGGGGAGCAGCATGGAACTGGAACAGGTTGAGTTCTGGCAGGTCATCCTTATAGTTGCTGTTCTAGAATTGGTAGTATAAATTCAGGTTTGCTCGGCTTCCATGATTCCATGATTTTTGAAGCTGACCCCTCAGCAAAATAAAAAGGCATTGGAGAGTGCTGTGCTGGTTCTCACTGTAAGCCACAGAATCGCAATTTTTGAGTGCGTGCATGCTATAAGCCATTCTAGGACTCATCCATACCAGGACTACTACCAGGACATACCCTGGCTCATCCATGAGGACTCCTTATCATTGGACATGGTTTGATCACCAAGCCTGCAGAAGTTGGAGTTCAGCTCCCTGCTCCGATCTCGAAAGTAGGGCTGGCGGATGCCGGTGGCCAAGAGTACCGCTTTTTTTCCTGACATCTCAACTTCAAATGCTCCTATCCCATTCAATTAATTCAATATCTTTGCCAACTCTGTTTTCATCAAACTTGTTCCCACATCTCATGTTTGTTACTTTGCCAGTAGTGGCCCCCGCCTTGGTCGCCGAGCCCTCCAAAAGCATTTCCATTGTTCCTTTCATGTCATGTGTCGCAGGTTTTTGTTGCTGTCCGCCTTGGTCCCGGCTTTCTCTCCGCCAGGACCATGGTCATGAGTGTCCCTTCTTTGAGGGCGCCAAGCATCGCTTCAAGGATGTGCAATCACTCCCTGAGGCACAGCTTCGCGAGTCCACGTCACCTGGCATCAGCTCCGCGCGCGCCGGACAGCGCTACTCACGGGCAAAAACGGCAGGGCGGGAGGAGACCGATTTGCTACGGTCAGGCGGCGGGAGAAGGAGGTGCAGCAGGAAACGATCATTTTGGGGTGAACTAACTTGTCGGGGTGCATCGAAAGGGTGTGGTTTTGAGCGTGTGGTGATGCATGTGGATTGTGGAAATAGGCATGTACTGCATGTGAGGTTCTGGTGAGGTTCTGGGTGATGTTCTCGGTGGGACCCATCGTTCAACGTGCGGTAGATCGTTGCCGACTGCTGCCGACTGCTGTCCTCACAACAGACTGCATGTTCCACAATGTGATGCTTTCACCAAGCCCAGACACTCCATGTATGCCATATATGGCTACCATTGACCCCTGAAACCACCCTAATGTATGTAAATATGCCATACATGGAGTGTCTGGGAAGCAACTACACGGGGTCAGACGCCATGTCCGAGACAGGGAGGGACCAAGAGGGACCAGCAGGACTAGGATGTGAATCATTCTGACCGCTCTTATGGGGGCGGTGCAACTCTGACAACGGTCCGATGGTTTTTGATACCCCATGGAAAAGTAACACGGACCCTGAAAAAATACCGCTGGTTTGTAGAGAAAACGGTTTTTCCGGGTCTCATTTTAATGTTATTCTTCCCGGGTGTATGTTATAATGATGCTTGTGTAGTTGTAGGTGTGTCCTCCAACTCACTAACATGGAAGTGGAGGGTCCCCGCGGTCCTCTAGAGGACTGTAACTTCCTGGTGGCCATGCCATCCACTTCCATGTTAGGAGCCGGAGAGTGTATGATATTTAATTATTTGGTATTTTTGGAATGTTCAACTCAAGTGGGCTTTTTAGTATCTGGAGAACATGGGAAGCCCAGTGGGAAGCCCTACAGTTCACCGTACCGACCACTATGCACAGAAGCAGCCAATCGGGAGTTTGGGGAGGGTGAAGGATCAAAAACTAAGAATAATAGCAGCCTGTTCTTTTTTGATCTAGATGCCTTTTAGGGGATATCATGCTTTGGTGCTTTCCAACTGGCTGGATTCGTTCCCAGAGGGAGAAGCTCACAAACCCCCGGGTCCCTGGGTAAGGGATGCCATAGACTTAAAGATTAGCACTTCCTGACATAAGCATGGAAGTGGAGTTCCTTTCCAGGGTCCATGCCATCCACTTCCATGATGAGATGAAACAGGCCCATACTTTGACAGCTGCATAAATGATCGGACCTTTGGCAGGCTCTATACCTATACATCTTCCTTTGTATGTATTTTTTTGGTTGTTTCGAACAAAACATAGTTGTTGGGGCAGGCGGCGCAAATTTATGTAGTGCAGCACTTTTTGGATTTTTGATAGAATGGGGCCTGGGGGAAATTATAAACTTTGACACATCACCCAAAAGAAACACAAGAACCAAAACTGCGCAAAATGGCACCAAAACGGCGCAAAACGGCACCGAAAGAGCGCAATTTGTTTGCACATGTTTTTGTTGCGCTACTGAAAGTCGAAAGTGGCAAGCAAACCCATGGCTGTTTTTCCAGAAAACGACTAAAACTACATCAAGCGACAGAAATTAATTGAGTTTCACAAAGCGACAACAATTTTACAGTGAACATGTCGAAGAAAACTCAACCTCAAATTGTGCCGGCCTGCTTCTTACACACAAACGAACGACCGCGGGCCCAACGAACAACATCCATCAGTTGCCCCACCTTGGGCTGCCGACCTTACCGGCCGTATGCGGCCCCACCTAGTGTGCCGAAGCACCTGAGGCGGTCGTTGAAGTGGAAGTCTGATGAGAACTGGAACAACCAGAGCATGCACGCCTCCCTGAAGATCACCCACTTCCGGTGAGGCACTGGGCACAGGGCACTGGATTTATAGTCATGGATTTAGTTGATTTCTATATTCTTTACTATTGGGGATATGGCCCATAGCCAAGCAGTAGATGTATACCTGAAAAAACCTGATTTGTTCTTCGCTTGCATCTGACCTGTCCTGCTGTTTGTCTCATTTCTGCGTGTTGTTTAGAACCCCCCCGGAGGGTTGCTTTTGGCTCTATATGTCCTGTGGAAAACCGGGTTAGCTCCCACAACGTGAAAGGACAGCGAAAGCCTGGCCAGTCCTCAGTTTGGTCGGGTAGAAAAGGACCTGTGAACTTCCTCATTATGAATAACGAGCCCGCAAATGGCTGTCTTCAAGTAGCATGACATATGGAAGCTGTTCCTATTTGATTCCTGTTCATTCTTTCCTCCCCTACTTGTAGTCTTGCAAGCTTCCAAAGAAACACACACGTACGCAGCCAGGGTCCCCACTCCACTGGTTACTTCTGAAGTGACGAGTCCTAACAAAAACCATGGCCCCGTCGGCCACGCCGGATGTCTCACCATTCCGGCCGAGCCATCGGCTGAGCCGCCTGGCTGCGGGCCGCCTTGCGCGGCGGGAAGCGGCGCCCGGTCTCACCGAGAACACGCGGCGCAACGGCGGGAAACGGTACGCGCAGAGAGAAGCGTCGAGGGATTTGGAGTGTGCAAAGCGACCTGGCCATAAGGTACTTAGTCTTATATAGTACTTTGTTTCTTTGCCAGGTCGGAAAGCGAAGGTCGCCCAAGTGGGGGTGACCAAATTAGGTGTTTTTGTTTCAATAGATCTTACTTGTTGGGGTTCTTGGCTCACAGCGAGACAGCACATGAAAACGGCTTTTATGTGTTTCTCTCCTTGAGCCCTCAGTCTTCATCACTCTTCTGGATGCTTTTCTGAGGTGTCATGGTCTCATCCAAACAAGACCATTCATGTTTGGAGCAACTCCCAAGGAACATGACAGCAAGGCAAACATTTCTATAGTACTATAGAAGGTTGAGCCACCTTGCAAAGGTCCTCACCACCCAAACAAACCAACAGAGGTTAAGTGACCTCACAGGACCCTACTGGGGTACCTATGGGATAGTCATGGATAGTCTATATATAGGGTTCTTCAACCTCTGTTGGAAAGGAAGTCCTGAATTCTTCTCTTGAAGTTCTTCCAAGGCCTGTGGCGGATGAGCCCGAGGTGCTTGGCTCGCATACGGTAATATGTATATATATATATATACTTGACTTGCTGGGCGTAGAATTTGCACTCCTCACTAACGAAGTGGCGGGCCAACGGCCACCTGTAGCGAAGGAAATGGGACTGTTCAGCACAGATTTTTTGGGGCCAGCCAACCAACAGACTATACAGACTATGGCTTTTCTTGGTACGACGGTTCCTGTGAACCTATCAATTATCATATATATATATATGCTCACTAATTTCCTTTCACACACAGCAGCCTGACACGGACCCTGAGCGTTTTTCACCACGGACCCTCAGCTTGGAGATGTGAACAGCACGATTCATCATGGGGAATGGTTCTATTGGGATTTGTGGATTACACCGTGTAGCAGCAGCATGGCATGTCGTTCAACGGGTGGAACACGGACGCAACAGCGGATTGGACCAGTCTTCATCTTCCGTTCGTTGCAGCAAAAAGTATTCTTTCTTTGCGCCAAAAGCGGACGTAGGATCATACATGATAATACCACATGGTACTTGGTCTTCTCCCTACAGGTCGGAGCTTGGTCGGAGCGGCAGGTTTGGGGATGTTTGGGGTGCACTTCGCCGAAACCGTCGGAGTGTTTGGTGATACCTTGATCTCTTGGTCTCACTTCCCGCACCTCTTAACTAAGTATAAGCACCTGGTGCGCACCGAACTTCCAGGGACCACCGGTCACGCCCCGTGGGACCTCGCCGTCCGCAGCCGGACGAGCTCCTGGCGCCCTACGACGGTGACGTGTGCGGCGCCTTCGGCGACGACCTGTCGACGCGGCGGAGCAGCCAACTGAGCGGAGGCGTCGTGGGAGGACGAGGGAGAGATGGGGAGGATGGGAGGACGGAAGAAGAACGAGATGGCTATAAGCAAGGAGTGGAAGGAGACTCAGCCGTGGATCTGGAATCTATAGATCTATAGAGGGTTTGGCCGGATGACTTTGGTGAAACCGACTGATTAGAGGATTTGAGGAGCAAATGAATTTGTTCATTTTCTTTGGTGCGGGTGGGAACCACGAATCGTGTCAGAAGACTCATGCCCCTGTAACACAAAACTGTATATAGTTATACGACGGAGTAGATAGGTAGAACGTGCGGAATTATATAATTAGTGTCGCAGGGCTATTGTCGGGGGACAATACATACCTCCACGTGCCATCAGAATCCTTTTGTAGGAGCAATCCACCTTCATGTCCCTTATGAACTAATACGATCTAATATGCTAAAACGCCAGTTCACCAATATATATATATATATATCCCTTTCACATCTTAACCAAAGGAAAATATGGGAACTTAATTTTTCACATATTAAATAGCTCATAAACATGAAAAAGTGGTGCCATTCTGCTGCAGAAGGCCCTTTGGCGATTGGTCGATCCATGTCAAGCCAACCCGGCTGAGGCTCACTGGGCGGGCCCTTGCCCAAGAACATGTCCATGAGCCAGGGAACCTTCACATCAGTGGAGGTGCTTTTTGATCAGGCGACCCTTGCTGCAGTCGGGCGTTGTCTTGTTCCTTGTTTGATTTGTTTAGCTAATCCAGTTGGTGAAAGATTGAATGTTTTCGGATGTGTTCGACAAGAGGACTGCATTGTTGCTGTTGGACGGCTATAAACTGGGGGACCCTGGGGGAACCACAGCGCCCAATGGGCTTTTCCTTCCAATCTCTTTGGACCTGGCGTGAGGCGTTTGCCTTTATTATAAGCTTGCCGGTGGTGAGTGGGGTGGGTTCCTTTTGAAACATATTGTAAAGCATATGTAAGCATATGGTATGGGAGTATAGCAAAGTTGCGGAGGCCCCTTCACCAGTGGGTTTTGCTCCTTCTCTGTGGGGAACCCTTTCCCCAAATGGTTCAACGCTCCCAACTCACTGAAGAACATGGCCATGTCATCTGTCACCCTTCGCATGGGGCCTCTATGGAGCGGATCCATGCGTTTCGCTTCACGTGGTCGACCTAGGGCCAACTATCTCCAACCCCCACAGGTTAGACCAAGAGCACTGGAGTTCAAGCCCGCCCCTTGGGTCCTTCCGCTGTTTCATCGCCTGGGACACTGCTCAGATGGTTCTGAGCACTGGGCTGGAGCGGGGCCGCCCAGAGCGCCCAGATATGCAGTTCGTATCAGTTCGTCACTTCACAAAGACATGGACAATGGATGAATATGGGATGCACATGGGCATTGCAAAGCTTACTTAGGTGTTCCTTTGATGTTTTGTTCCATGTTTGCAGTCTTGGGAGCCTAGCAGCTGCCAGCAGTCACAAATTTCCTATCCGGCCAAAGGAGGTTTGACTGCGAGAGAGCATGCTTTGTGTGCCATTGTGTGCTATTTAGGTCAACAAGTGAACCTAGTGGATTTGTAGCATCCAGTGGCCAAGTAGGAGGCAGAGTCATGACGCCTTTTCTTGATCACCTGTAAAACCATAGGCCATTAGGTTTGGTAGATAAGCTCTCCAGGTTCAGCTGAAGTCAGATGAGTTCGATGAAAGGTGGCAAGGGCTTAAATACAGGGTGCCATTCAAACCCACCGGTGAAACACTACATATCATATATATATATAACATAACCATAACATATATAGTATAGTATAGTATCTTACATGTACTAGCAGGTCCAGGTCTTGATTCCCTTTTCTGACACATCACAAAAGAATCATGTTGGACCAAAATGCACAGATTCTTTTTATAAGTCTATAAGGGATGTCAACCTCCCATGGTTTGGTGGAGGTGCCATGACGAAACCAGCCATATGAGCCGAACACAGGTCTACATATCCTAAAAACAACGGAGTTCTCTCGATTTTCTTCTTTTAATGCTTTGTGTACCTACATTGAGGCGGTGGAAGAGGAGTCACATGGAGTCACGGTAGGTCAGTCGGTGGATCGGTCAGGCCTTCGCCAAAGCCGGCCGCGCGTCAGCGGAGGCTCTTACCTCCGGGTTCCGGTGCGAGTCCGCAACAAGCGCCGCTCCCGGCTCGCCGGGCGAGCGGCGTCGTAGGACAAGAACATGGATGGGAGCATATATCACATGGATGGGACCACCTACATTGGGGTGGTTGAAAAGGCGTCAATTGTCTCAATGTAACACCAGAACTAAACCCATGCAAAGATGGAGTGTTTGGGGTAGTTGGCAGCTACCGATGTTGAATAGGCATTTTGCATGGTGCTTTTGTTTTTTGTGTGTTTCTTTGCGTGGTGCTCATGCCATTTGTGTGTGTGTGCCTGTGAGCCGGCCCAACACATCTGAAATGAACACCTGTAGGCTGGCCTTCTTCATGAGCATTCTGGGGCAGAAGGAAGAATGAATGCAAGTTTCCTGCATTGTTGTTTGTCCCCCACTTGTTTTAAACCTACTGTTGCATGGTCTAAGAGTCTAAGCATGTTCCGGGTCAATGAGATGGGCTTTTCTGCGCCGAGGTCGCCCCGTGTGCCGAGGTTCTAGGGCGGCTGTGGGGGAACAACAGCACCTTCTTGTACCGATACCAGGCGCGCCAACGAGTTGGTCGAAACGTTGGCCGCCAACGATTTGATTGTAAACATCCACATACCTTCTCTTAAGGTACTTGGAGTAGTACACTGGGGCGGTTGAAGAGGGGTCATTATAATCATTATAGGTATAATATATATATATATATAAATGTTCCATATGTGGAGATAGGAACAGGACCGACCTAGGCGTTTTGCTGAACCCCTTTTTGTTGGGGGATTGGGTTCTGAAGAATGTAGGCACTCCCCACACGGGACAGGTGGTAAAGCATACCTCAGTGGCTCTCTCAATGAAACCTATTGTTATTTTTATTGGAGATTTGGGTTCCTGATGCACTGAGGTGGAAAAATCGTTGTGCAAGGATGAATTTCCCATGTTGGGGCGTGCATCCTGAGCCGGTTCCGGCTGCCCAGACAATGTGCCAGGCTGCCTGTGGCCAGTAGATGCCAATGGGGAACACTAGGGAACCATATTATATTTATATATATATATATATGTAGGCTTCATGCGAGGAACCACTGGTTCCAACAGGCAAGCAAAGCAAACAATCGATTAATATGTTTTTGTTCATTTCAGCCAAACCCTGGTAGGAAAGCCTAGGACAACCATTCCAAAAAGCATTATCTCTTCCATGACTCATCGATTGTTTGATACAGATGTGACAGATGTGTTCTTTTGCAATCCTAATGAGCTCAAGTACATAGAAATGATATGGAACAGTTCGCTCTTCCCTGTCATTGAAATCATTGAAACGCAAGTCTTGCCTAGATTGCGCTCATCTTGCATTCCACACATCCCATGTTCATCCCCCCTCCAAACGGGGCGAAACGTGGAGGGCGTCTTCACCCGGCCATCGGGTCAACGCCCCGGGAACCGCGTCTCCGCAAGGCCCGAAGGAACGGCCCCTGGGACCGAATGCCGTGCCGCGGAGCGCGGAGCGAATGCGTCTTGCCGTGCCGCCACGGTGGGTTTTTCCTTCAAACGACGCGGGACCTGGGGAGGTCGTGGGTTTTTTGTTTTTTTTTCTCCGGGGGGTGAGGTGAGTTGGAAAGAGGATGTAGACGTGAATTTCGTTGAGGAGGTGATGGTTCCGCCAATCCTGGGGAAATAGAACTAGTGTCGATTTCCATGACGTATGTCTTCTGAAAGGGTTCCGCCGCTACACGCATGATTTCCCTCAATCCTTCCCAACCTTCTCCAACAAACTTGACCCCGCAAAATATGCCCTGGAAGATTAACATGGAACCTGGAAACCAGCAGGTTGTAGTTCAGGTTCCATGTGGGTCTCTTTTGTGGTGTAACAACGTGAAACAACAAAGGTCAACACGGCACGGTTCCCTCCGATGGTCGTGGCTGAGGACAGTCCATGTAGACGTGACAAAGCCTACTCGTACTGCCAGAGGTTAACTTAACCGTGCTAGTCCTCGCTGTTCTTGAGGTCGGGATGTGCAATGGCCAGTCTCCCCAGAGGTGGATTTCCGCAGTGGGAGGCCATGAGCAGCCATGAGCTAACTGGATCACCTACAGGGAGACAAGTTAAGCCGATTCTGGAAGAGCTGAGAGCATTCTCCAAGCTCCTTCATTCCAGTGTCTTCATTGTTCGAAGACCTGGAGCCTGGAGACAGCTTCAATGCTCACAGGGCCAACATCAGTTCTTGATGTTTGCTAGGGGTCAGGGATGACAAATCTATGGATGAATCACCCTCTCTGAAAGCCACAAGCCTGTCCATTGGTGAAAGACATCACTCGCTTGGAGTTGGGTGAGGTTCGAGCAGGTACCTACGCTCCTCGAAAGAATCATGGAAGTGGAGTTCACCACCTGGTCATCCTTTCGGGTCAGAGGCATTGTTCCGGTCTCCATGCACGGGCTCCTGTCGGGCGGCGTCGGAGTTTCCTCATCTTTCTGCAGACAGTCCAACTCGGAGACCTTGCACACCAGCCTGAGACACCGAAGAGGCCCACATGGAACCTGAAAATAGACCTTTGGAAGACGATTTTCCTCTAGAATCCAGTAGTTTTCAGGTTCCATGTATTTCCATGTGGACCCCTTCCAGAGGATAATTCCTTACTGGTGTGGTCCCAGTGGTTCTGTGAAGTTCTTCCTAAATCATTTCGATGCACAGATCAAGTCACTGACATGGAAGTGCATGGCATGGGCTCATATTATGGACCCCTTGGAAAACCCTTTGGGGGGTTGTCCATTTCCGGGTTTAGTGACCTCACATCCCTTCGGTGGCAGCGAAAAAACCCATCCAGATGTGACGGAGGATCTGTCTGAGGTCGGGTCTCAACATCAGCCTGCAGCTCAAAGAGCTGCTGTCGTGTCGCTGGTGGTTTCTTTTTGTTGTGTCTTTGGTTTGACTTATTTGGAGGGGTTTGCACCCGAAAAACGATAATCTTTCTTCGGATATGTTTAATTTGAATGGACTCGGTGGATTGATTCCGTCATGTTCTCTTTGTGGCGATGACCGCCCGAGGCAGTCTCCCGGCGGTGGTTCACCTTTTCTGCATTTGTTTGGGGTGGATGGACTGATAGCGACCAGAACGGATAGGTGAAATGGGAACAAGCGGTAGACGGTAGACGGAAACTTCGGAATTTAGGAAGTCAGATGGGCAGTCAGGGACCTTCCAGGGACAGCGCAATCAACCGTTCAAATGACATGTTTGTTATTTCTCGGCCTTTCTCGGCAGTCAGCATACCAGAGGCGTACAACATAGCCCAAGAAATACCCCTATAGTATAGCAATCTATTTAAATACATCCTAATGCTTGTCTCCAAAAGCGCGTAGGCGTAGGCCTTGAGGAAAGAGGGTTGGGAGAAACTGCCTGGGTGGCTTGATCCTGTGCTTAATCCTATGAGAACACCCCGTCCGTGGTCCGTTCATTGATCCAACCGTCCATCAATCCACTCATCATTCTCATCCATCATTCTCATCAACCAATCAAATATAATCAAATCATCAATCCATCCTCACATATACCAGTTGGATTGGCACAGTCTTTTTTTTAGCTGAACAATTTAGTATGTATATGTAGCATTATTATGACAGTTGATGACCCTACTGGCTCAATGGGTGTTCATGTGGTGTATTTTTTGGAGGTGACCCACATATTCGACTACACCCAGTTCTTCTGCAAAGATCTGCAAAGCATGTTAGGAACTGGGCCTGCAGAGGGTGGATCCCTATCTACCCATCGTTGGCATGAAACTAACCACAGCTGTTGCTTGGCGTTCCACCAGAATTGGGCACTGTTTGTTGATTGTGCCCCATCGTGCCCGATTCTTTTGTGTTTCCCCACCTGTAGTGCTCTTGCAACCACATAGGCGCCCATGCATCCAAACTCTGCGGAGCCCCATGGCCCGCACCGGCAACCCTCGTCACCTCCGCGATGTGGATCGGGCGAGGTGAGGAGATGCCATGGTTGGCCACGGCACAGCTCACCTGCTCCGTACATGTCGGGGCCCATCTCGACGTTCGTATTGGGTGCGACCTGGTTAGCCCGTGCAGGTGGCAACCTGCAAAGACGTGCGTGGTGTTCGTTTTTTCGTCCGTGCGGTCGGGCGGAAGGTGCGACCCGGTGTGCGACCCTTCCATGGTTGGAGGTGATGAAGATGTGGTTCCTGGTGTGAAGATTGAGGGGCCGGGTTAAGTTGGGCATTGAACTTGATAGACTTTTGAAGGAATAGAACTTGAGAGTGGATTGGAAGATTTTGGAGCTGTCACCAGTGATTTGGGAATGATGCTCCGACTCCCACTTGAGTAGCTGGGCAAACCCTGTGAAGGGGCCCAAACCAGCAACAAACCATAAACCCTTTGAGAAATGCAGGGTGCCCTTAGCATATCAATGTATATAAGTGTTTTTTCTTAAAGTGTGTAGTCGCTCACTGTTGGAACTGCGGAGCAGGATTCCTGGATCCAGGTCGAGTGCCCGGCGCTGGTGATTTGCCGCCCAGGTTCCTGTTCTGGGTTGGCGTCCCTACGAGGAGGCCCTTTGTGCGCCTTGAAGTTGCCCCGCTACTCCATGAACCCAGTGCCCAGTGCCCCAGTTCACTTTCAGGTGCTTGACTACGTGTCTAACCGTAGCAAGTGAGGACAGTATATATATTATATATGTGATACTTGTATTGTAGTACCAAGTTGGTCACTTTTACCCTTTTTGGGACCTGCCCTTCTCAATTTGCATTGGAAAAGGATGATACCTTTATTTTGCGGGGGAGAATGTGGGCCAGCTGCTGGTGGGAGAAGTTCTGCTGAATGAATTCCAATCATACTATTTGGTGATAGATTTTGTTTGTTCCAGGTGGCAAGGAAGCCACGTCCTACGTCCTATTTGCAGTTATGCAAGCTGTGTAAGGTGTTGGTTTGAACAAAATGTGAGGCTCACAATGACTCGAACAAAGACGCAAAACTCCTGGCCTGAATTTCCAAGACATATGACCTTGGTTTTGCTTTGGGTTATGTTATGTTATTTTGCCCGCGTGACCCCCTTGTGGGGAATATGTTTGCGGTTCGTAAAGCATAGATGTGAGTAACTAATAATTCCATGCGTTGGATTCACCTAGTTACGCTCTCAAGACAATGTCAAACATCCAGCTGGGAGAAGGAAGTGCTCCTTGTTGATGATTGTTCCTTTCCAGCTACCTGGCGAGCCCTTTATTCTTTCACCGGCGCCGCTCCACCCTATAGCCATCTATAGCCTAGATAGGGAGAGAAAGGGTTCTTCTTAAGACATCTTTATCCGAACAAAATGAAGCAGACGAAGATCCCCTTCACCAGATCCCCTTCTGCCGGGTCCGCAGGTCCTGCGGATCACCCTGTGCTACGAGCCCATGGTGGTCGGGAACCTTGGGAGTGAAGCTCCACGCCCTCGGAACAACGGAGGCACTGGTGGAAATGGTTTGAAAGGAGGTATGTCAACCATAAGGAGGTATCATTGTGCAATATGGTGCATATGTATTATTGCATAACTATATCTATATATATGGTGTGTTCTTTCGTTTATCTACAGCTGTTTGTTGTTTCTCTCTCTGTGTATATATATTGCATACATGTACGCATATATATATATATAGACAGTAATACTATTTAGGCTTAGACTTTTCCTTCATGTAGATTGTTATTGTGATTCGAACATTTAGTTGAGGTCGTGAACCTCAAGACGCTTTCCACGGCACTTGTGGTATTTGGCTGCAGAGAGTCTTGAGGGACGCTGATGACATTTATCAAAGCTTCCTAGTGCAGTGCTACAGCCAACCCATCTCATCCCCAGGACTTCTTGGGGATTCGCCATCTTGACTCTTGTCGCGGCCAGGGGAGAAGGATAAACACTCTTGTTCACAACTCCGACACTCTTAGGATCCATCTCATACCATGAGGCTGCTCAGACCCCAAGTTGTGAATGCACATGCTCGTCCTTGTTTGGTGGTGGTTGTTGCCTCCCCCAATTGTTGTTGGGCAAGGGGCGGAATCGCAGGATATGTTTACGGCAGGAAGTAGCAAATGAAAGAAAGGTCCTTCCGTTTTTGTTTTCAGCGGAGTTTGAGCGGGCTTGTTGAGGCTGTCCAGCTTTTCCTAGGTCGACTTGTGTGGAACTGGTGGAGGCGTTCGAGTATTGAACTGCCATCCTACTCGGTCTATGGATAAAACGGAAGCCTTGCCATCCACGTTTTTGTCTCGCACTTCGTAGCAGTCTCCTTTGAGCGATCTCGATCGAGACACCGAAGTCTTCCCAACGCGGTGATGGAAAGCCTTCGGTCTAAGAAAGTGCAGTGGAAAAGGACTGAAAGCGCTTTCTGCGATCGGGACAGGAGTCCCAAAGACACCCGGGCACATTGTGCTTGGCAGATAGATTGCATCCAAGGGCAGTGGCAAAGTGTCCTACTAGGACTACAGCATTTTGAAGCCAGGGGCTGAATTGCAGTGGTTTCAGAGTAGATGGCACTGGCACCCCAAGATGACGATAGATAGGGGTCAAAATACACCAAACTTCGGGACTGTGCCATCTACTCTCTCAAAGCTGGACAAGAGCTGGACGAGAAACAGCCCTGGCAGCGGCGAAGCAGCCGAGCTTGCAGCGTGTAGCAAGCGCTGCCCAGCGATGGGCACTTGGTGGGAAGCTGTCTACATGTTCTCCGACCAACGTAATTGACATGATATGGACAAACTGCGGGTCAGGGCAAGTTTTTGCAGGACATGAGCACATCCCAGCCAGTTGCAAGGATGACGGAAAGCCAAACCTTTGGGTGTTTCTCCCAGGTGCATACCCCCAAACCCGGACCATCCGTGCATCCATGCAGTCTTTTTCTACAACAGATGGAATGTGAAGCCTGATGAGAGAGATTCTGGGCCAAGCTCAATCCAATCCGAATCTTGAACCAGTTGAGCAGGTTCCGCTGGCCTTCCCCCCGTCCCAAGGGCGTGTCGAATGGGGACCAGGGAGAAGTCTTGGCCGTTCAGCAGGTGCCGCGGGAGTGGCCGCGGACGGAACGGCTGTCATCCAAGAGGTCTCCAATGGAAGCAAGACTGCCGATCTCCGTTGAACACCCCTTTGAAGGTGCAGGTAGTTGATATCTTTGTTGGGGTTGTATACCCAGTAGGTCGGTAGTTCATTGTGTGCGATCACCATAATTTCGCAATTTGACAAGCTGAGTGAGGGTGCAATTTGATGCCAACTTGAGTATACCCCGCCCATGCATAGGTGACAGGTTTGACAACCCTACTGACCCTGACCCTACTGCGATCCATGTGCGAAATTGGTGGTGTGATCCGTGGATACCGCTTCTCCATGCTCAGTTCATCCACGGATGTAGAGAGCGCCGTGGGAGGTCGTGCCACGCCAGCTCCGTTCTTCGCGTTGCGCCCTTCGTGAGGGTTGGTCCCTGAGTACAGGTTGAAACTCCAGGCCCGAAAGAGGATTGCCTTCTGGCAGTTGTACCAAGGCCAGTTGCAGGCCCTCCCAAGCAAGAACAGAAGATAACAGATGGTATTTTTTTTTCGGGGATGGCTTTCGGCCCATGGTCTCAGTGCCAGCAAGATGGGAGTGACAGCCCCCACCTCCACACACGCCTTTCCAACCTCACCTTCGCCACGAGTTTCCAGGTGGGACACACTGATGGCGGACGATTCGGAGTTTTCCGCAACGAGAACTTGTTGCTTTTCTATCAGCTGGGGCGCCAAGGAAACAAACGGCATGGTGTTTTTGTTTTTAGCTTTCGAGAGGCGAATCTTCAAGTTCCACGTATATCAGCACCCTCCAACGGGTCTCCTTTAAAGGGTTATTTAAAGGGTTGTTGGGCCCTACTAGAGTAACTGGTCTCAATTGGTGACCTGTGAAGTCGGGTGCTGGCCTAGATCCGCAGTATTGGTCCTTCGGGAACCCCCTCGAAGATCTCTCCGGCACTTCGCGGCTCCTTTGCGGCATGCTGCGGCACCGGGGTGCGGCACCGGGTTCGGCTCACTTGGTCACCTCACTCGTGCCAAGCTGGTTACTCCATTGGCAGAGTCGAGAGGTGGCGGGGAACAACACAACAAGAATGCCTATTGAAACTCTTCGTGTTGCTTTTACTGTAGATGAATTCAGAGTGCCTTCACAGAAGCTGTTGTTTAATGATTTGAGGTTGTTATTTATTTGCCTCCTTTGGAGTGGGACTCGACTAAAGCCTCTTCCCTTGAACCAACCCAAAACCTTTCCAAGAGATGCGCCTAGAGCAGAAGCAGTGAAAAACGGCCTCCATGAGTGGAGCAGCTCATTTTCCAAGATGAAGAGTGCATCATCAGAGTACATCCACCCACCCAACCTGTCGGGCAGCCAAGTGAGCCGACGAACTCGGCTCTCAGAACGCTCGCACGCCTTCCTGAAAAACTAGACATAACATAGGACGCGGCTCATTGGGATCTCCGAGCGGAACAACGCGGTTCACCTCGGGCCGCCCTCCGCTCGACCTCACGGCAGCCGTTTGACCAAGTCCAACGCGACCCGTTGGTCACGGTTGAACGATCGGAAAGGAACCGCGACCGACCTGATTTCTGAAAGGGGCTGTGTCCCAACCAAGCAGTGTTGGAGCGGTCCAAATCAAAGAAGATCAGTCATTTGGTTGATGCTTCGGCCCGGTCAGTCCACCCACGTTGCCCGTCGGCTCGTCCACAAACCGGAGACGTCTCAACCAACGGAGACGGAGACCAGGTCCGAAGGTGCCACGTTGTGCGGGGACCCGACCGGAGACATGGGGGTGTGCCATGACGGAAGCACTCTATACTCATTGTTGCAACATCCAACAGAGGTTAAGTGACCTTATAGGACCCTACCGATAGTCTATAGGGTTCTTCAACCTCTTTTGGATGTCATTGGACAGCTGCAAACAGCTGATGACCCCAAATGGCAACCGAATTCATGTAGCAGCTGTCCAATGGGTGTGGATGTGTGGATTTAACTGGAAGGAACTTCATGAAATCTATTTGGGTTCTGGGCTCCCTTGCAGATGGCCTGTATGTTTGGATGGAACTGCAGAACATGTCGGATGTTTCTGCATTTGCAATGTTTGTTGCATGTGGCAATAGCTGCCACAGAAAGAGACTGAAACCCTAACACACCAAGACCCTTAAGAATCAGCAGGTCTCCCAAATAGACGTCTTCAGTAGACTTAAGAAGGCTGGCTGTTGTTGCAGGTGGGAACCGGAGCTCAGAGGGGGGTAGCACTGAGTCGAGACTGGCACATCAGCACATGCCCTGGTATTCACCTGCCAACATGCTTCCGGACTACAGCACTTCATTACATTTGCACTGACGCAGAGGGCCACTGCTTTGTTTCGTCAGCCGAGCAAGATTCCCAACAAGTACATTATTGTGGTTTCAGGGGTCAATGTAGGTGTATATGCGGTATATGGCTGTTGGCTGTGGGTCAAGAAGCGGAGCCAAACACAGTAAGTAAGGTTGACCTCCGTTCGGTAGGTCAACGAAGGTATCCCGGTTTTCCAACCCCATATATGGTGTTGTGACCAAAGCAATCCTTTTTTTACTTTTGAAACTAAAAAATACCTGGTAGCGAGGTACAACAAACAAGATATCCTGGCTTTAACCCAACCAAAACCACCCCAAACCCAAATACAATTGGAGTGTTTCGGGGGTGGCTGAGGCTGACGGCCTTCGCCTTAACGCCCAAAGGCGCCTTTTCGTGGGGGGGGCTGAGCTTGCGCTTGGTCGTGCTTGGGTGGGTGGCCTGTTCTTGTGGATCTAGGTCTAGGTTTGGTGATTTTTTGGGGTAATGGGTTGGAAACAGTTCTATAGTACATAATTTCAAGAGATGTCAAGTAAATGATGTATGTTACTTTGACAGGGGTCGTTGTGGCACAAGAAACCCTAGAAGTCCCAAAGATTACGCACTGCCATAGCGAAGTGAAGGAAGGTTTTCTACTTGATGGTTCTTGACTTCCAGAACCATGATATTGTACTAATCAGATGGAATCAATTGGAATCCAGTTGTCACCTGTTGAGATCACCCAAACAGAGAGTATTCCGTGGCTGTTCATGGCACATCCTACACACGCCTGTGGGGGGGCCACATGTTTTGCATAGGTAGCTTCTCCGATCTAGCTTGCAATTCCCTCAAACTTTCCAGATGATTCTGTCAGATTTGGAGGAGCCGAGCGCTTTTTTTGAAGCCCAAATCGATACGGGTATGAACAAGTGATGAACAATGATCACTCTCAAGGTTTTTTCATGTTCATTGCTCTCCCGTGACGTTGACACCGTGACTGAGGGGTATGGCCGTTGAGGGCCAAAAGAAGGCCCGACGGTCGTGTTTGTGGCAATCTCCAGAGGTCCAGAGGGTGGTGAAAGGCAGATTCAATGTGAGACTTTTTGTTGCAGGAAAGGTGTCTTGACCAAGGGGGGCGCCGCCTGCCATCTAAGGGGCCTCCCTGACCCTGCGGGGTCTCCTGAAACTAACAAAGCCTTGCAAGGAGTCAGTTAGGGATGTCCTGCATGGTTTGCGCAAGGGGCGGCTACATAGCAGCCACCCTCACTAAACTGGAACATGACTGGAGAGGACTTTGGATATGCTTAGGTATCACTTGCGACCAATCAAGGATAATGTATCAAGGGCTAGGGTGATTCTTAGGCAGCAGTTACTTGAAGAGTCATGAAGAGTCTAAAATCCTCGCCCTCGAGCCATATTAGTGGCTGAATGATGAGCGTTGGATAACGTTGGAGCTTTCAATCTAACCCGAAGCCTCTCAATAGGCACTGCATCAGTTACAAACAGTTTCATTCGCAATTGCATGTTCCATGCGCTGACGGTGTACCAGTACTGCACCTAGTCCCCATGGACTACATGGCATGTGCGGCATGTCACATTTCTTCGGCTCAGCCTTGCACACAGAGTTGTTTTCCAGCAATTTGGTAGTATTTGGATGTATTTGGTCTACTTATTCTTGACGATCATGCTCAATGCATTTTTCGGCTTCGATGTGATGGTCACACAATCTCATCCTAGCACGATACCAGGGGTGCCAACGGGTGGGCCATCATTGACCACCCCTCGGGCCGCCACAAACACCACCGGCTTCGGGTGTGTTTCCACCGACAGTCCTTCGATCGACACAAAAGCACACACGGGCGGTTGGCTGTGGTGTGTCTCGGTTTTTGGAGGCCTTCGCGGACTTCCTGCACTCCTTCCAGGATGAAGCCAAGACCTGGAGACACTTCCGCCGTATCTCGCGGTGCCGTTGGTCATGTTGGTCGCCGTGCGACAACCGCATGAGAGAATGGGGTGGAGGGATTGGACATTGGAGGGATCAGCGAAGCCAAGTATCTAAGTGGACCATATGTGTGCAAATGTGGAAAACAACTGCCAGGATATCCAAAATGATTCGGATGGCCCAGTGTAGCATTTGGATATACATTATATATAGAGTACTGCCTCCCGTGAGGCATGTAGAACACAACCTGCTACCTTTTGTTCACCCCCTCCTCGCTCAAGTATACTACTAGTTTACCGAACTATTGTTTTAGTAATTAAGGATTTGACACTACAACACCAGGTCCTGCCATTATCTCTTGAATGGTCTTGAAAGTCTAGGGATCCTTCCTATCTTCCAAGGCAGAAGCCAGGCTGTCGACATGAGCTTGCGTAGTCTTCACAATTTACATTGGCATTGTTGACAGTTCTGAAATGGAAAAACATATCCCCCGCAGTGGTTCATGGGGGGGGGACCAGACACAAGAAACTCCTAGTACGTGTTGGTTCTTTGGTTTTTACAGTGCAACCTGGATCCTTACAGGAAGTGGATGGCATGTCGTCTTTAGATGTCTCTAGTGAAACTTGGGTCCTTACAGAAAGGTGGATGGCATGGTCCGTTGCAGGGTTGTTCTTTCTTTCACTATTACAGGATCACAGAATCCGAATGGACAGCCCTTATGCTCGCCTCGCCTCGCCGTCCTTCGCGGCTTCGGGTCTTCCGGTCGTCGCCGAGTCGGCTTCGGTCAAAGCCGAGTCGCGCAGGAGGCCGTCGACCAAGATCAAGGGTCAGGACTGGTCCGTGGGGTTTTTCTTGGACTGACCATGGGGTGTTGGGCGCCGAAGACCATGGGTCCGTGTGGGTCGTGGCCCGGAGACCCAACCAGTCAACCAAAGGAAGACCGAATGGAACCGCCACGAAAAATGTCGGGTTTTCGAGTTTTAGGGTTGAGGTCTCCTGGATTTGACCTACGGCCGGTTGGTTTCCTGGATGACTTTTTGATGGCCCAGTCCACCAGTTCTGATGGTGTTTGTCCGTTGATCGGCAGTGTGATCGGCAGTCAATCCATAGACAGAAATCTAGAGAAAGGGAAGGCTTTCCCCTGTCCTTGCACAGCACAAGTTTGCTTTTTTCCTGCCAGACATCTAGTGCGTTCTTTGTGTTTCTGGAAGTTTTTGCAGCACTTCTTGAACGGGGGAGTTGGTTGCTTACAGACATTGGAGAGATAGGTTTGCCCCTGTCAAGCTTACACAATCCGCCTCACCCTTCCTATAGGGTCCCTTAGGTTGTTTTTGTTTTCATTATCTACTTCATTCTACTTCCATGATGCTGACAGCTCATACGATCTCCTGCAGCACTGTCATGCTGTATTTGCAGTGGAGTGGTGTAATGTAAGACATATGTAGACTGTTGATGAATAACCCCTCTCATAGTCATTCAATTGCATTCATATGCATTTATGACAGTTTGATTGACATTATTTAGTTTAACAATTTTTAAACATATCATGTGTACTAAATTATACCAGCATAGACCCCAAACAGTTTCAACATCTATTCGTTTGGACCAATGTTAGTCAAACACGATTTCTTGGTACGCCCTGCCTTCCCCTCCCAAGAGCAAACTGCTTCATCAATGATTTGTGTCGGCATTGACATCGCTATTTGTTCGGCCACAAGAGCAGACAAGAGAAGAGCAGGACAAGAGAAGACAAGAGGAGGACAAGACCCGGCCACAGAGTTCAGGGGCGCGGCCAAGAGAAGGACAAAAGGGGGACAAGAGGAGGACAAGAGAAGGACACAGAGCCGGGCCACAGAGTTCAGGGGCGTGGCCAGTGAGTATGGCCAGCTCTTTTTCCAAGATAGAGCCCCGACAGTAAACTGCTTGGGGAAAAACTTGTCTTATATGATTTAGATTATTTTACATCAACCAATATACATCAACCGTTTGCGTTCCTCTTTTTTCTTCCAGGCACCTCCATCCACCTCCCTGGCCGACCCCCGGGGGGCTCCTTGGCGATCGGTTGGGGGGCGGTGTGGGGAGGGGGAGGGCGCCCCCAACAAATCCCTACAGATCCCCACCCAGGAAAAGCGGATCACCACCCTAACTAGGTGGAGATGATCAGATAGTGGTTTTGTTTATCACTCGAATATGTGTTCAACCTTTCTTCTGGGATGGTTGAGTGACTCACTCTTCTTGCGTGAGTTGAAACCACCAACCAGCCAACCCTTTTTTGGGGATTGGTTTCCTCACGGCTGAACCTCGATGTTCCAGGGCATTTCTCTGAGGAAATCAGCATCGGGAAGAGGATAACTGTAGGAGATCACGGTCCGTCAGGGACCAGTCCGCAGCTCTTCCAGTCACGGATGGGACCTGGGATTTCGTGGCTTCTGCGGATCCCGAGCGGGATGGACCGATCGTCTCGCCAAGACGTCGAGGTCCGCCCGGGCCAAGCAGCATGTCCAGTGTTACGCCTTCTCTTCAACAATGAGGGGTTCGGGGTCACTGTCGATGGCTTTAAGAGTAGGCCCTCATAGTCCAAGACTATTTGAACAAATGGTTTGCCCAGTGACCCGCGAAAATGGATTTCCTCTCTTTCCTTTAGATCCGGACTGTGGGGTTGGCGTCTCGACCTACGGGTGTCTTCTGTTTGATTTGATTGTTTGAGACCATGAGGGCAATCAACAGTGGCATTGAAAGCCGGCTCCGCCTGGCTCCACGTGGCTCTCCCGGAAATAACCTTCATCACAGCAGAGTTTGGTTTTTGGATTTTTTGAACGTGTTGGGCATGCCAATGAAAAGGTTGTCAACAGATGTCACATGCCCGTTTGAAGGACAAGGAGGATGCTCGTTTGCCCCGGGCACCCAGGAGACCGAGACCTGTTGCACAGCGGCTGCCCGAAAATTCCACCCTTGCGGTGTGCAATGAGGTGCGCAGAGCATGTGTTGTAGACCTAGGGGTGCCAACTCCGACCTTTTGTAGGACGAGAGGGCCGCTGTGTGCAAGCATCACTGATTATACAGCAACAGTATGTCACTAGGTCACTAGGCAGCTCGGAAACTTCTGCACTTTGGTCATGTCCTTGTCCCTTTAAACTATTATAGAATATTAAAATATGCACAACAACGTTGAACTTCTTATAGTGTGGTTTTCCGCGCTTGCGTCCCTGTCTTCTCAGCATTTGTTGCCACTGTGTTTTCCTTTGGTCGCTGTGAAATCGGTCGATGCGGTTCTATCAGCATGATAATCGTCGTGCGTGTGTGACAAACTTGGTGGTTGACAATGACATCTCAAAGTTCCCATGTCCACCATATTGCTGCCCTATATGCCCACCATGTCTTTGATCAAAGAAGATGCCCTTGAGAATTCAGTAGATTATGTAGATTAGTAGTCCCCCAAGTCCATCTCAAATCCTATCAAAGATGTTTTTGCCAATGTTCCAGCTTAACAACAACCTTTGGATGTGTTGATGTGTTGCTGTACTTGACGCTTGTTTCGCGCTTGGTCACCCGACCACCTGACTGGCCAGACCTACAAATCCGCGCTTGATTCATCCGCGTGCGCTGAGCTGCCGGTCGCCAAAAAAAAGGTCCAGGAATCCAGTGGGTTCAGTCAGATCAGGGGCACCTGGATGAAGGGGTACCCCTCGGACCCCACCGACCACCGCCGACCACGGTCGTCCGGCTGAGCCATGGGCCAAGTGCCATGGCCTCGCGCCGCGTGTTGTTTGATGGGTTGGAAGGGTCCAAGCAACGGATCCATCCCGTTTGGCCATGTGTCGATCTCGTTTGGCACGGGCAATGATGTATAATGTCATTATTTATTGGTATGTTCATTTGGGTTTGTCAGTCCTACTACCTGTAACATTTGTAACAGTCAGCAAAAACAAAGCCTTTATATACATGCCTTTACTAACCATCATCATCCACTGATACAGGCAATAGGATAGACCCAAATTATGAAATACTATTGTTCAGTTTCCCCTCGCATTGTTCCCACATGTTCCTTTCCCGACTTGACCCTTACGGTAATTTGCGGCCGGAGGGGTTCGGCAAGCGCCAGACCTGTTTCACCACTAGGCGGATTTATTGGCAGCATTGTTCCTTTCCGGACATTCAGATCTCCAGTGAAGATGTTGAACCTAACAGCGCATCACAGGGAAACTCACTGGTTTCTTTGAAGTGCCGACCGCAGTAGTTAACAGCCCGGTGTGGCTGTTGAGAGTCGAGCCCGGAGTGGCTTCATGTCATGGATCGCCTCCTGGTGAAGTTAAACATAATTGCTAGAAGGTAAGACTTCATGATCATCATGATCAATGATCAGGATATGGTGATCCAATGATTCAACAATTCTGGTGAATTCCGAATATTCAGGATTGTTGGATCATGGGATTGTCGGCATTCTTGATCCGTATGGCTCAAAGGGGGTCTTGCTACACACCACACGCAAATCATTCCAAAAGGCTTTGAGCTTGGATTCATCCTCTCGCTGAGTATTCCAGTATGAACAGGTTGTTTTCTTTTCATTGTGCAGCTGCTGCAGCCCTTTGGCTCCAGCGGACTCGGAACATGGACTGTAATTTCACCGTGGCCTGGGTTCCCAGTGGCATCGGTGACGGCTGGTTGAAATCCCGGGTAGCTGGTGACAACTTGATGATTGTATGTGTGCATGTTGTGTTCTTTTGTGTTTTGTCAGGTGGTCGCAACTTCAGCCGCTGGCTCCGGCCGTTTCCACCATCCTCCCATCTCTTCGCTCCAGCGGTTTTTTTTTGTTTGGTTTCTATCGCGGGTGACGTGCGGTTTGTTGGGCTTGGCTTGCTTGAAGTTGGGAATTGCCACATGATGCGGCATCGGCGTTGGGTTGCTTCGTTCTATCACGATTTGGTGGCCCATGTCCATCCACAGAGCAGTTTCCAGCAGGTCCAACTAGTTGAGATGCAAGATGCAGCTTGCACGACATGCGAAAAGATACTACTAAGTCCAGAGTGCCCCCGGCAGGCAGTAAGATTCGCACAATCACTGTAGACACGCCGTGTACGCAAGATAACTATATGAAGTGTTAAACTTGTGTTTGTCTAGTGGCTAGTGAGATGTGGCAAACCGAAGCTGAACGATTCGGCCATGTTTTTTGCCACATGTTCAGATCGCTTCCCTCAAACCTCAAGAGGAAGGCTGGGGATGGCTGGCTGGGGGAGTCACGCCATGCGCCTCGACTCCAGCAATCCCGAGCGATCCGATGGTGACCCCCTCTCAGGCGATCCGATGGTGGGGCCCTTGTTGACGGGTTCCGGTGATTTCCCTGATATGGGTGGCGACGTTTGAATTTGGTCCAACCGAACCCAGGGGGTCGGAACGCCGGTCGGTCGACCGGTGTCGGTCTCCCGAGCTTTGAGCTACACCCGCAGCGGTCCGAGCTTCTTCTTCAAGGGTCAACGCACCGAGGTCAAGGCACCTGAGGTGCTGTCCGGCTCCTCAAGGGTCGCGCTGGGTGAGAGAACTCCGGCGGAGCCGGCTCAGGTTGCCGCCCAGACACGACCCGTTTGGGACTGGAAGATGGGCACCGTCCACGGAGGAAAGACGGACGTTTTGTATCGTTTTTAAATGCGGTGGCACGTGTTGTACAGAAACTAAACGTCCAGCCGCTGATAGTTGCTTTAGCTTTTGTTCTTGAGCACCAGAGGGCTGGACGAGGTAGACATTTCGTTTCTTAGCACTCAAGAAACACAAAGGAAACAAAAAGTAGAAAGTGCAAAAATATATATCCCATAGGGTCCAGGTACCTCCTGAGGATGGCCTTGGAGGTGAAATTACTTCCTGAGAATGGTCTTGGGGGGTCAAAGGACATCCTCAGGATAGTCCTGGACCCTTAGGGTATATAAAACTAGATGTCCAGCCTTTCCAGCCCAGCATCGTGATGCGGCCTATTCCTACCTCGAGAAACAGGCAATGTTGAACAAACATTCAACAGCAGCGTACAGTGTACTGTAGCTTGCACCAAGTTGCACCCGCGAAGGGGACATGTATCTTAATTGGTTAGTACCATACTTCATATTGTCAATCTTGGGAATCGAGTAAGTTCTTTCAGGTCGACCTTTTTTAGGTCCCTGCATCGACTTGTTCTCGGATGTTTTCTGGAAAGGGGCACCCTGGGAGTTCGATCCGAGTGCAGTGGAGGTTTGAACATGCCTCACTTCTTCCTCCTCGTTTTTGTTGCATGGGAGGGGGTCATCCACCCCTCTTGGAGTTTAACATCACAGATCTCACTAGACTCTATGGCTCCATGACTTTGCTTGTTTCAATTTGTTTCTTGGAGATCTTGGAGTTTGCGGTTGGGATTGACCTGCACACCTGTTTCAGCCAAAGATTTGCAGCAGGAGGAAGGCCATCATGGCAGCATGTTGGCATCATTTTGCCAAGAACCTCCAGTTTCAATCCACCCGATTGTAGGGTACAAAGCAGTGAATGGACGATGAAGCAAGATAGAAGATCCTTTTCAGACGACAAACGGACAGGAAGACTCACTGGGGGTTCTTCATGGTTCCTCAACCCCAGTGGGCTCACTGGACAGGAAGCCCTGAAAAGTACACCCTGAAAGTCGAAAGACTAAAATTAAGGAATTTCAAAGGGTCTTTTAGTTGACCCAAAAGAGGAACTGCTAAATCGTAGTCTTTGGACTTCTCTAGGGTCTAGAGTCGTAGTAAGGCTCAGTTGAACCAACCGACGCCTGGACAAGACGAACTGCCGTCCGCCTTGGCCTCGCACCGGGCGAGGCGACAAATGGATGCAACTGGTCTACAGATCGGGCGGAGACGGGACGAGAACCTGAGAACCCAGAGGTTGAACAACCCAGCGTCCAGCCAACGCCTTGAACAACCCATCTCTCATCAGGTGTCCTATGGTCCTCATTCCAAAATCCCTCCAATCGGTGACCCATTGAAACCTGTGTGGATCCAGGCCGGGGGTCGGGACCGTCGGCTTGGGACCGCCCTCAGGAGTTGGGTCCATCGAAAGCAAAGAGGCGCTCCGACATCGGAGCTCTTTGACATTCAGAAAAACTTCCAACCCCACAAAGGTTCATGCTTATTGATGTTGACAATTGGATGGAATAATCATGACAACCTTGTAGTGATGTAGACTCTTGATTCATAACCCTGCTCAATTGAGGCGACAAACATCTCTTTTTATGGGGGGTTAATAATCAAGAGACGACATGACCCCCCACAGTTTATCAAACTCCGAGCCGGGCGAAGTCACACGGCCGCTGTGCCAGCTTCAAGTTGTTCTATTGCCAATGCCAGACGTCCAACAACCTATGGAGCTCATTGGAGACATTGGTGCTGCGTATATATATATATATACACAAATACGGAAGCCTCCCAGTCAGATCGAATTAATTTGAATTACTATTACAACACTATGACTATAACACTATAATTATAGAGATGCAATAGTATAATCACCGGGTGCTGTATATTGTTGTATAGTAGTGATTGATATAGTATCATCACCGTGTGTTTCGCGCCCGGAGAACATCGAGCGAGCCCTTCCGTTCATCTCGGATTCGCGGATATCCTCATGCCCCAAAAAGCTCGGTGACGGAACACTGAAGCGTTCGTACAGCTGACCGTGCAAAGAAACAGCGCTCATAGATGATTCGCTTGAATTGAACAGTTGGAATCATTTGGAATCCATTTATGTAGCCCAATAATAACCAGGGCATCAATGGATTGTATATAACATGCACTGTAAACATTTGTAAACACTGGCAAAAACCTATACCCACACTCAGGAACCCGCTCAGGAATTGGCATCACGTCCGCTTGCGAACTCCGCTCAGGTCAGTTCCATTGTTCGATGGGCAGCGGCCCCGAATTGTTCTCTTTCTGGAGGGTGTTTGGGATAAGCTCCAAACAGCCATTCTTCAGAAAG